GGGGGGGGCTTATTTGAGGTGTGCAGTTGATTGATGTTGTGGCCTTGGGGGTGGAGGCTTATTAGGGTAAGGGTGCTAATTAGAGTGTGGGCACTTATTCAAAGAAACATTGTATGCCAATTTTGGGTCAAACGGGGATTTTAATTTCTTTAAGCCAATCTAAATTCCTGGCTAAGGTGCTTTCCATTCTATATTGAGTATCTGGGGGTATTCAAGATAAAGTTGAGGGTATCATATTGATTTGTTACTAACAGGAGTTTAGATGTGACATGTGGAATCTGCTTGGAAGTTGTCAAATCAAAAGCAAATCCCAGTGAGCAAAGATTTGGAATACTCGGTAAGAAGAATCTATTTTTGTAGAGTAATTTAGTGTTTAAAAAAAGTATCTAAATTGCTTCAAAACAAGAAAATATGTGTCTCCCTAGCATCATCATTTAAATTTACAAAAGAGAGAGATAAACTTTAAAGATTCTATAAACTCCCTTCTCTCCAATTTTGGATCTTATTACTAATTCTCCATTGTGTCTTTCATACAATTCTTAGGATGTTAGCTTGGAGAATTTGGTTTTGGATCAACTAAATTCCCTAACTGATATTATTCTTTATTCCCCTCACTTGTCTGTTTGATATTCTATTGATATTGTGAGGAGAAATTTTATCTTGGTCACTATTTGAAGTAAAGGGTTGAGCAGCTATTTGTTTTCTATTTGTGATCAATTCAGTGCTCAGCTCTCAATGGCTGGATTTGGTTTTACAGTTTTGCATAACAGATGCTTGTTGGTGGCCAAATTTGCTAAAAATTTACCTTCATCTCTAAATCACTTTCAGCTGACTGCAACCACTCTTTCTGTTTGGCTTGCATTCGTCATTGGAGAAATACATCTCAAAGTAAAAACAAAGTTGTAAGGTACAAATTTCAGTCTGAGTAACTGCACACCTACCCCTCCCCTAACCCTTTTTTAAACCTAATTTGTTATCAGTCGACTGTTGTTGGGTTAGGGGAGGGGTAGGTGCACGGTTGCCCATTGATCATTGTTAAAATACTGATTACTAAGTGAACACACTGTTTTATCAGTTGAATGTGATGTTAGACAGGAACATGTTCAATTCATACAAGTTGGTGATCATTTCCTTGTATTCTTGTGACCTAACTGTGTGATTTAGGGGGCGATATTGTAAGGAGAAATTAGATGCTGGTCACTCAGGGGTTAAAGGGTTACTGCTCAGACCTTTTTACAGTTTCGTATACGGAATGTTTATCGCCACTTTGACATTATTCCATCCTCGTTGTTATAGAATGTGTCCAGTTTGCCGAAAAACATCTGCATTTGTTACCCCGGTGAGTATTTCACCTTTGGACTTCTCTGATCCAGGAATTTTGCCGGAGTGTCAAAAGTTATCTTGGATTGCGTTTGCTATATCTCTGGTTTTGCTTTGCTTTTCCCTGTGATTAATCTACAAAACTCGCGTTACTCTCTCTACCAATCAGGTATAAAAGTTAAGCCAATCACAACTTGGTCGCCTGTGTTTCCCGCGCTTTAGACAGTTTGGTTTGAGCTCTCAGTGACTCTTAAATGTACTTTCCCCCATCAGAATGGCCGTTGTGATTACTTTGGATTTACGACACTCACTCGAAAAGCGCTCCAAGTCTAGAAAATCAAATGGAAAAAAAACCTGTGTTTTGCTTTGCTTTTTGTTCTTACCGGCTCCATATGTTATGAATCTGTTTCTCTGATTGGTCTGCAAGATTGTTTTACTTGTTGTCACACGATGTTTAATCGAAATGAGCTCAGCTGTGCAAAATTTTCAGTGCTTTCTTGATGTCTTCTAGAGTGAAGTGTGGATTGATGATCCAGTCGAGAAGAAGAAGCTTATAGAAGACTACAAATCTGCTCTAAGGTTCACTGAGTAATTGTGTGTTCTTTTGTGGAATCAAATTAACAATGCTCTACCGCTCTTGTTCAATGACATTCAAATCTGAATATATAATTTTTTTTCTAGGGAAAAGCCTTGTAAATATTTTGCGCAAGGAACCCGGACGTGTCAATTTGGCGCTAGTTGCTTCTACAAACACGGTATGGAATGAAATGAGAAACTTTGCGTTCTTTCTTTATGAAGATTTTTCTCGAGCACTGGCGTTACCTAGTCTCTCGCAGCCGTTGTTGGTCTCGTCACGCCACGCGCTCTCTCCCCACCAACGAGAGAGCGCGTGGCGTGACGACACCAAACATGGCGTTACCCGTGTTCCTCATTTTTAACTAGTGTAGCGAGAAACTGTTTTAAACAATCTGGCTGCGATCGCTTTCTTTAATGGTTGTTCATCTCAAAGGAGCGATGTCATGAGATTTAATCTTGTGGAGGGGGGGAGGGGAGGGTTAAATGCTGTCCTTCGTTGGAAGGAAAACTTTCAGATAAGAGTTTGTCGTGGTAGGCAAAGTTGGCTAGGACGGCTTTCCCGGATAACATTGGTTTTTCATCTATTTTGGGCTACGAAACGATGGGTTGTGAAACTAAAGGTCGTCGCAAATTGCACACTCGTATTTTCCCGCGGAACGATGTTAAGGATAGAGAGGACTGTAACAAAATGCAAAATTTAGGCAAGGTGCCAATGATAGCCGTTGCCTCAGTTTGTTGTTGATTGCTGACGTTACAATAAAGTAATCTCCCTCCCCCCTCCCCCCTCCCCCCAGCAATTACAATGTATTCTTGAGAATCTGTTTTTTATACACAGAATGTCGGTGAGTTGAAATATGTCATCGCCAGGCTCTTTAACAGTCCTTAAAGTTACTGTAGTAAACAAAAACATGCCGCTCTCTGGGGCACCATTTTGGTAGAATTGTTATTTCGACCCATTGTTGTCATTATGTAGCATATCCAGACGGAAGAGTCGCGGAGACAAAGCTAAGGCATTGCAATACTTCAGAAGGAAATACCAAGGTTGTACAAACCTTCAGGTCAGTTGTGGTGTGAACACCGAAGTCACAAATAATTAACAACTATTCACTTCAGTGACGGTGGCTAATGGTGAATATTTACCGATCCACGAAACGGCTCGGTAAATATCCGCCACAAGCCACCGACACTGAGGTGATTACTCGTTTTAGTACATACTAAAACAGTTAGATAATGTAGCACGAGATATTATTTTAATTTTATTTTATTCCAGTAGCGATTTCAATGTTTCCGGGCGCAAATCCTGCGCTTTGCTCAAAGGTGAATAGCAAAGGTTATTCGGAGTTTGAGTGGCCAATCAGAGCGCTCCTTCAACGGTATCCACTGTCTTGGTAAAAACTAAAGTTCTACATTTGCGGATTGATAAGTTTTACCACCAATTTTAAATGGCCATTTCAACGAGTTCTGAAACCTTCGTTTTCAAAATGAGATCAAGAGAAAAACTTTGAGAAAGAGAGGTACATTTGCTGTTATCCTCGGCCATCTCAGAAATGAACTGAGTTAAGTCAGTCCTTGAACAATGAAGGACTGAGAAGTACTGCCTAAGGGGATTGGATTCGAGCCCATCCGGGTCATTAAGGCATTTTTCTAGGCAAGACACTCTACTCTTGCCATGGCTAGGACCTAAGGGAGGTTTGGAAGAGGGCGTAATAGTAACGGAAATTTTTTAATGATCAACTTCATGACACAAACCTTTCCGAGTACCATATTTTGACGACATCTGTGATTTACTCCTGAACAGACACACGTAATCTGTTTGTCAAATTGACAACATTCATTAAGCACGAAGCATCTTCAAGTTTTCTTTCTCAATTCTAAGGACATATTTTGTTTAATTGTTGCTGTTGCTACATTTACTATTGTGATTCTGATTTTTCGATAAACTTTCGTTCAGATTATGGGACTTTCTTGAAGCCTTAGAAGACGAAAGAACTAGTGCAGAAAACACAATAATTTTTCTGCCAGACTCAGATTCCGACACAGACTGAAACGATCGGAGACTGACACAGCAGACTTCAGATAAGGACACCTAACTGTGCGGAGGAGCCAAGGTTTCCTGAGATGGTGCATTGATACTCCAATAAACAACAAAGTTAAAAAACGTGAAGTGCAGTACCTCCACTCTTTCATTAGAAGGGTGCAATTATATATGCATTTTGAAGCGTGTGTGAGTTGGCCTCTTGTTGTGTGACTACTACATTCAACTACCGTAATAAATTTGCGAAAAAAGATAATAACTTAAATGTAAGCGTACGGCATTGTCTAGCGTGACTTATGGTGGCGTGTATTGATTAAATTTTTACCTAAAAACTGGTATGAATTTGCGTAAACAGATGTCTCGGGTGACGTCGTTCCGTTTAGTCAATTCTTTGCAACGCAGTATAGTACTCTCTTCAAAATCTCAAACTGACGTTGAAACCCGTAACCAGTTAAGTCAGCCACCATCTATCTTCAGCTTTCAGTGGAAGCGCTCCTAAAGTAGATCTATTTTTTTTCAATTCATTCTTATCATCAAAGGAATCGATAACTGATTCTTTCTAAAGACTGTGGTGAAGTTACTGAAAATAAGTAGGAATAATAGTGTGTAATCCTTATAAAAAAGCGAAAGTTTGTAATTTCAAATTTTGTGGATCGACACTTCATCAAAAAAAAAAAAAAATGCACACGTCAAATGTTGAATAAAGAAGCCTTTAAGGAGGCCCTTATTACTGGTGTTGCAAGACGCGCGTTTCTCCTCCCGCAGAAAGATTTTAGATAAGTCAGGGTGAGGTTGCAGGTGGTCTGGCACCGATAATGCCTCGTTATTAGTGCGAGACCCCTTACAGACCCCTCGCAAGCTCGCTTTACTCAGACGTCATACTTTCCCGGGAATAACAGACTCTATCTCGGGGCAGCTGATTTTCTCTACATTTCGTGCTTGTGAAAGAAGCCAAGGGTTACCAGCTACATGCAACCTTGCAGGATAGGGCACTGTTCGACCGAGCGTCGTAGTAATCATAACGGAAAGAAAAATATCCCGAGGATCCAATGAGAACTCAAATAGGAACAACCAAATTATGTGCAGCGTCTGAAAAAGCGAGCGGCATGGTGGTGAGTGGTTTCAGTTTTGCACCTGATTGGTTGAGAGCGGCGCGAGGATTCGGGACCAGTCACAGAGCGAAGTAAAGCAAAACCTATGAAATCTCGGATCACTTTCGACACTCGATAGAAAATTTCTCTAATAGACTGCTAATGGACACAGGTACACCACTCAGGAAAGATAACAGAAAGCTAATCTCAGTGTTACGCGGAAACTCAGTATTTTATCCCCCGTCGCCGGTTTGTTTGTGGGCGTTCGACGGAAATAAAGGCAGCACCACCTTGAAAAGGAGTGTCGGAGCTACGCAAGCCATTAGTGTCTATTCTGTTAACAAAAGTTTTGCAGTTCTATAAAAATTTTGGCAGACGACAATGCAAATTCAGTTACTAGTATTGATAAAAACCGTCAAGATTAATAATAAAAATAGTAGAGGAAAAACACGCACATTTTTTGTAAAGTAGTTCTAAATCTTTAAAAGATCGTATTTTCTATTAATTCTTATCATGTAAATTGCAAAATAAATCAGAGTTTCGAGGAAGAGGTCAGCTGACAACCTGAACCACCAAACCTCCTCTCCTAAATACTTAAGTTTAAGTTAAAATGTTTACGATCATGTGTGAAAAATAATTCTTAAATAAGCTTCTACTCTAAGGACCATCGTGTGCATTTGTTGACTACGCCCGTTATTGGATCTTGTCACGCAACGCAAAGATAACGGAGGACGATACGTGACAAGACCAAACAACGGCTAATAGAGGGACTATCACAATGGAGTTTTAGGTACTTAAATACGCCTAGAGGAACTATGTCACCTAGTTTGTCATCGAGAATAAAAACAAAAAAAAGAACGAGGACGACTTAAAATGTGGACTGTTACGAATCATTTCACGGTATTTAAATAAACTAGCTTCTATGAGATTTACGCGCGTCAATTCAGGTCAATTCTCTGCGGTACACTATACTAATAAGTTATTAAATGCAAACTATCCGTTCGGTATTGGTGTTTTACGTTTATACTTTGGGAAATCATTTACTGGCGAGGCCTCCTTGATTGAACGGACAGAATTCTCTTTCCTACACGTACCGCAGTACATTTTAAAATGGCGTACTTTGGATGAGGCTAGTTGGCAAAAATGCTTCCTTTCGCACACAACACTCCCATGTGTGGGAGACAATACTTCGTTCTCAAGGTAAAAAGGAGAGACCCTGAGTATGCGCTCAAGAGGGACAAGAAAAAGAAGCAAACTATTATTTTACAACGGGTGAGTTATAAACAAAATTCGCACTAAAATTCAGACGTGCTTGCAAAAAAAAAAGTTTCCCTCCGAACAGAACTATTGCGTGACTGATTACAATTGCGGATGCGAAGGAGACGAACTACGAAATGGCTCTAAGAGAAGATGCTAAAGCAATTTTCTTAGAGTCAACATCACCTATAGGTTAATAAATAATAAAAGTTAACCAATCAAGGTTCGTCGAAAACGGAACTGCACAAGTTACTTTACAAATATTAATTGAAGACATGTTTTTGAAAAAGTTACTAAGATATGTCCGTGCGTGACACTGGCGTTTGAAATCTATTTGGGTAGATGCTACGCAATCATTCGTTAAAACAACAATAGAATTCTGAATAGATTTGGTCTTATGGCTTTAGCAATCGTCTTCTAGTCAAATCCCAAGACACGACGTTTAATAATGTAAAACAACATGTAGTTGTATGTGTTCACCCAAACGATCCCAGATTCCCTTGCACGCGACTGTCGTTCCCAGTATCTCTAAATTCTATTTATTATAACACTTGCATGCGCATTAAGAAGTCTGGGTAGGAGTGTAGGAGGAGTAACAGTCAGTTGACATGCAACTCATGTCACGTGTTCGGATGAGATAGCATGTCCCATGTGCTGAGCCATTTTCGTCGGTTGATATCGGCGGAAGAGAGAGCCATGTGACCGTACGTGAACGGACTGAAGAAATGAAATCCCCATAGAACAGCGACAACCAAAAGTGCACAACATCCATACAAAATCCATCGAAGTGTTTTGTACCTGAGGAGAGATCACACTTACAATAGTTACGTTTCAAATGAAAAGAGAGAGCAAAGAGAAACAATAGAGAGTTTAAGAAACGACGACAGCGACGCCGTGGACAACGTCGATTAAACAACGAACTTTTATTTCACCTACGAATCTCGCAGTACTCTAGAGTCATTTAGGTTGTTTCTCACTGTCAAAACAGTGAAAATGGAATATGGAACGCAGCGTTAAATTAGAAATAGAAATTTAAAAAATTAGCTGTCGTCGTTCACGTTCTCCAGACAACGCAGAGTTTGGTCATTTCACGTCGCTGTTTTACAGAGGACGCAAATAAATTTACAAAGATTTATAACGCACGTGCAGAGCCACCGTTCTACTTATAAAACCTTTAATTCAGTGACGTTTCTGTTGCCGTTGCCGCCTTGGTTTTCTTAAACTCTCTAATGATACTTGCAGGATGGTAAGTCGCTCAAATTTTCGTGATGACGATTCAAATGATGATATTGAGTCGAGTGTCGAAGGTAATCCAAAAACGCCTTTGTTTTTCTTTGATTGGCTCAGAGAGGCTCAGAGAGGAAAACGCAGGCGACCAAATCGTGATTAGTGTGGCGCGAGTTTTATTGACAATGACAGGGCAGAGTAAAGTAAAACCAATGTAATCGACTTTCGATTGAAAATTGCTCTGTGAAGTAAACTGTAAACACTTCTAACTACTCAAGAAAGATTATTACCTCGCTTTCGATTAAACTACTTACACAAAAAAACTACTATCGCTAAGTTCACCTGATCGACCGACTTTTCAGGTTGTCAACAAGTCAATAACCGAGGATGATTCATATCATAATTCATTAACATTTCCAGCAAAATCTATATTTCTGATTAAGTAAATACCTCGAGCTTACCTAAAGATCTCATCATGAACGTGTTGTAACATCGCTGGGAGAAGAACAATTGTATAGAACAGGGCGGGAAGGTAGTGATGAATAAACAATGTTCTCTCCATGGGGAAGAACGTGATGAAGTGAAGAAGATATCCTACAACCACTGCTTCACCACAAAACACGTATCTCTCCCACGCATCTAAAAAATAAGATACAAATGCGATTTGTTCCATGAATATCCAGTTCAAAAAAGTAAATAAAAAGTTTTAATCAATTGAAAAGGTTGAGAGTTCACAAGAGACTTACTCTCGAAGTTCCCAGAGATTTTACCGCTTACGAGGCAACTTGGAGTTACCACATAAGATAAATTATGACCGGCTCCTAAGACCTTAGAGATCACGAAAAGGAAATTTGTGCGGCTGCTCTAGAGACAGATAAACTTGGCTATGAACCACAGTGAGAAAATTAAAATTCCGAACAAAACCTACCCTCTGACAAGTCGTGCACGTTTCTTCTTCTTCTCAATAGATAAAAAATTAAAAGTCCGAAATACACAGGAAGGGAAAGTGTAGTCGCCCACCATACAAAAGGATTGCCAATGCAGAATACTTGCGCCTGAAACAGAGAAGACACCAAGATCAGTTGTGCTTTCAAATGGGATGAAATCAAGTGAAATGAAAACAGCGGTTCAACGTCGGGCATGCGCGAGGGGATCAATTTTGGCCGGCCGCGCGCCAATTTCCCGCGCAAAGATTCAAAGAATATATAAGACAAAAACACCATCTCGCAAAATAAGCGAAAGAAATTGAAACGTTCATAGAAATTCGTGAAAGGAAACGAAAGTTGGGAAAAGGAAAACTCGCGACTTTTCAAACACAAAGCTGAGTTAAGTACGGGTATCCTATTGATTTCGCATTCTGTTTTGAGCTTTATCGAAAAAAGCTCTACGCTTATAAAACACCGTGACTTACTGATGTGTGTGATTGTTTTTAACTCGTGTCACACAACTTAGTTCTGAAAGCCTGAAAGCACGACACCAAGTCATTACAACGTTCGCACATGCGCAGACATTTAACCGCTGTGCAAGTGAAATGCAGTAGTATTAAGCCTACATTAGTGTCTCTAGCAATCCAAAACGCGACTCCTCTCCTCATCAGAGGCCACCACGAAGGACGAGATCCGAACGTGTGCTCAGCAGAGAGCTCCTTTGTGGATTCAAGCATCTTAAGCTGGTGATAAAACAGCAAAAACGATATGATGTTATAATAACATAAGTCACAGATAATGATCTGACAAGCACGTGGTATGCCAAAAAGAAATAGGGGAGCAGGGATGGCGCAGTGGTGAGGGTGCCCACCTCCCACCACTGTGGCCCAAATTCGATTGCAGGACCTGGCGTAACATGTGGGTTGAGTTTAATGTCGGTTTTTTGTCCTCGCTCCAAGGGGTATTTCTCCGAATCCTCCGATTTCCCTCCCTCCACAAAAACTACCATTTCAAGTTATAATTCGAACTGGAAACAGTGGATAAGAAGGGCCACCTCGTGGAAAATCCACTGCTAAATCCCTTTATTCCCATCCCACAACGTTCCGTTCTAAAACAACCGCAAACATGGGAGGAGGCGAAAGTGTGCGACGAAATATTCGTCAATGTTTTCGAAACTACACAAGAAATGGAACATTTTTAACAATGTGTTTTCAAACAATGCACTTTTAA